GTTAATCCATTTACTAACATGAACTAATCATGAACAACACTTGTACAGCATTTATTAATCATAATTGAACATTTACTAATGCATTATTAGCATCCAAGTCCATGCTTGTTAACATTAGTTAATGCACCATGAGTTAACATGAACTAACAATGAACTACTGTATTTTCATAATTTTCATTAACGTTAACTAACATAATACAGTAGTAAATGTATTGTTCATTGTTTGTTCATGTTAGTAAATGCATTAACTAATGAACCTTATTGTAAAGTGTGACCAATTTTTGTACTGGAAACAAGACAAAAAATCTCAGTAAAAAAACTTTTTTTTTTCTTTTTTTTTTTTGCAGTATACAGAAAAGTTAAACTTCTAAAATGTTCAACTTCAAAATAGACAATGTTCTTTTAACTATGAACCACATAATCTTGGGGAGAAAAACAATCAATGTATTTTTGTTTCCATATTTATTTTTCAACTACAACAATCATTCCGCATACAGTATAAGAATGATTTCTAAAGAATCATGTGACACTGAACATTTGCTTTCACCCCAAAGCCTTGAACTGTGTAGTTTTGTTAAGAAAACCAGTTTGATGTGAGAAGTTTACCTGCAGTCTGAGCTCTTGGACTTTAGAGTCCTGTGTGTTGTCTAAAGCTTCTAGTTCTCTCTTGAGAAGACACTCCAGTTGCTCTAAGAAACGAGGCTTGGCAAGAGACCTGCAGGACATGAAGATACCATCAGGACCAAGGCACTGATATTCAGAACTGACTGAAAACAAAAGAATATGACTAAACATTGTAAAATTATGAAACTATTAATAACATGAACACATATGCTCTATGTGGAATTCTTGGCATACCCATAATTTCTTATTTGTCTGGGCTTTTGAAATGTAACTTCAGCAGGCTCAGATGAAAAATAACTCTTTTCCTTCTCTTTGGTCTGCTGGAAATGGAGTGATTTGCATTAATACAATATACATTCACCAGCCAATATTTTAGGTACACCTGTTAATCTTACTTGTAAATGTAAATAGCTATATGGGACATAAATGTTTATGGCATATAAGTGAACATATATGTTTCTGACATTTATGGGACGTATATGTGTTATAAATGTAGAATACATATATGTTTTTTGGCATATATTTAAACGTGTTATCAGGGATGGGCAAAAATACATTGAAATGTATTTTGAAATAAAATACAAAATACCTTAATTTTAATAAACTACAAAATACAGCAGCCACAAATGCATCAAAATAAAATACTGTACTTTGTATTCTGAAAATACTACAAAATATTTTTCTATGAAATTTCGTCGCAAACCTTTAATCAATAGGCATATTTGATCAATGCCTTCACCATTAAACTGATTTTCTCTTTCATTTTAGCATAAATTTTGTATAATTATTAGTGTTCCTGTCTTGAAGATGTTCGCTTTAATCTCTGTAAAAAACATGTAATGCAGATGAGTATATACTACTATATCTCTTCCAACAATCTCTTAACAGTCTTATATTTTTAAAGGGATATATATGTAGAGATAGTTTTAATTTTCTGTTCAATAAATGTAGTTTTTTAGCAATTGAAATCTTCAATACATAATGTAAAAACATGATTTACGAAAACTATTGAAATCTCCAGTTTTAGTCATTTCCATAAATCATGTTTATTGCATTTGTACTCTTCAATGCACAACATAAAACATGATATCTCTAAAAAATTTAGTTATCTCTTTTTGCAAATAAACTAGATTGGCGTATTATTAATTATTGGTGTCTGATATACTGCATTGTGCCACTTTGACATTTCTTCATTTACTGTACACTGCATCTGCAGATCATCTACTGGCATTTAAAACAGCCAATGAAGTATTGTAGGACTTGCCACTGTAGGAGTTATTTGTATGTTGTTTGTCCTACTTTCTTGGCATCGAATCAGCAAACCATTCAAAACTACTATTATCTGTACAGTATACTCATTCTCCCAAAGGTTTCTTAGTTCCTCTTTTAACTGGAAGAGTCCCAGATTGCCCCCTTAGTGAATACCATTACATCGTTTTTAGGTGTTTTATATTTCTAATCAACCTCTGCATTTCAACCTGCAGCACTGAGATTGAGAATGATTATGTGCTGTAGGCTCCAAATTCTGTTTTTAATGACTGATATTTTATGCCATCTCATTTCTTAAGCAAAGATGCTGATGACAAAATGTACACAATACTGCCATTATATATTACTGGTCTAGGCATTGTGCAGTATACTATTTTTAATGATTGTTGACTTGCTTTAAAATATACACAATGCCATTTGTCTCTTGTTTTTTTTGTGTGTGTTGCATAATTTTCATCCCTACTCCAAGCATTGACCACCTTCTTAATCAATTTTCTGTTCTGATTTTAAGACCAGGCCACATTTTTATGATGTGATCATATACTTCTTACAAAGTATTTTACAGTATTTTAAAAATACAAGACACTAAAGTATTTTGATAAAGAAAATTAACCCATTTTCATATACCCAATAAAATACAAGTTATAAAATACTATTTGGTATTTAAAATACGTATTTGAAATACTTGAAACTTAAATACTGCCCATCCCTGTATATATATTACAACCGGGATAATTTAACTTACAAATTCATAACTTACTTTTATCAATTTTGCTCTAGACATCTTGTTTGCAATGTGTCGCTGTAATCCTCTATTGTTGTCATCATTAGACTCAAATTGAGACGATGACCTAGAACAGAAGACAGACAACTTGGGTATTTGAGATGCTGTGACTTTCGATAACACATAATTTCTATGGCTTTTATAGATGGTAAAATTTGTCTCATGTCTACTTTATTAATCCAAATACCTTTCGTAAGAAAATAAAATAAAATATAGTTAAAACGGTGTTCTACTTTCATTCATGATAACGTATTTGTGCAAAAAAATAAACTTATTCTGTTTCTCACCTGTACTTATTTAAATGTATAAAAATGATAAGTCGTCCTGCTTATTTATGTTACATTATAAATAATTGGCGTTACTTTAATGCTTTTGGTTGACAGATGAGTAAGTTTACTTTCTTTATTGTCCACAAGTGGAAATTTATCTTTTGCTTCACCACACAACCACATCAGCGTTCATATTACACACAGGCAGCACAAATACATTCAATGTCATCACATAAATCACATTAAAACGCAATTTAAAGCCCTATACATACTTAAACCCCAGTATTTAAAATTCTAATGGCAGTCGGCACAAAGGACATTTGATTCACATTTTTCTTTACTTGAGGTTGCCTAAACGTCTTTTTGATGGCAAGAGCTAAAATTTTATATTTAAGGGATGGGAACAATATTCAGTAATGACGTGTGCTTTCTGTTTAACTCTCATTGAATAAATTTCATTTGGTTGTCTTTGTGCTTTACCTACAATTGCACTGGCAATTTTTACTTTACAACACAGTTTTTGCTTTTCCTTTATTGGCAACAGTCCATACCATGCAGTCATGTTAAAACTCACAACACTTTGAACCAAGTTCTTGTATACCATCTCCAGAACATCTTGACTCACACTAAATTGTTGTGACCTTCTAATAAGATATAATCTCTGCATTGCTTTTTTTAATGCTCTCTGCATTTGCAGCAAATGTTAATCCACTATCAATAAATGTTCCTAAATATTTAAAACATATAACTGTCTCTATTTCATGTCCCTCAAGGACCAGAGGTTTCAACCCTTGACTAAGGACTAAGTTAGTTAATTTCTGCTAATTAACAGTGGTTTAAATGGTGGTTTAAAGGGTAACGGCGATTGGCGAATAAAAATAATTAAAATGACAAATATTTACTGCTTTGAGGCTGCACTGTGATCATTAATCATAAACTTTTTAACTTGTATCATCAAATATTTGTGTTTTTTTATGCTTGATATGTCATTTGCTATTCCTCTACTGACGTCTGCAGCCTTATTCGGACAACAGTCCTTAGATTTTAGTTTAGCGTACTTAGTTGTGTATACGTCTAACCTTGAGTGTAGCAGCGGGGGCAGCTGTAGATCTTTTACTGCCATCTGGACGAATAAATAACTTTTGAATATTTCGCAGCAAATATAATATCATACGTCCAACCGAAGCTTCAGCGGCGTGGCATTGTTGTTGTTTGAGGGGTGGTTGCTATGATACTGAAGGACCCTAGGAAAGACCTCCTACTTATAGATGCCTTCGGCGTGCCTGTAATAAACAATAACATAACCTGTCGTCTAAAACGCCATATGTGTGACGGAATTCGTTTACATGTGTTAATATATAAATGTAACATTTTTTACATATTTATACTTTTTAAACGAACTGGTATGATATGACCAATATTTATATGTTTTTCTCACGGCGGTGCACGCTAAGACTATTGGATTACAGCACAGCATGTCTTGTTTTTTTTGTTTTTTAGACTCAAGAGTGCTTAACTTGTTGAACAAAATGTCTTAACGAGTGATCGAAGGGGTATATGTTGTTTATATCCATATTTAGTAACTATCTACATATAGATATAGTGTTTGCATAAAATATTTAAAATTCTTGTTTTGACTCGAAAACAAGCAATATTGCTTAAATGAGTAAAGGAAAAGTACAGCTTCACTGACTTGTTTAGGTATGGGGATTAGATGAAGACCGTTACATAAATATCCGAGAGTGTCTAAATTAAATGACAGATGTGTATTTAAACTGTTATCTGCAGCAAACGTGTGAATAAACGGTACTGTACTGGGTCACTTGTTCGAAAACAGATGTTTTTACATCGTACAAATCAACCATATGTGCTCAAGCGCTAAAATTACGAGTTGTGCTAAAAACTACAAATCCTACACTGCGCTGTGCAGCCCCGGTTGAATTAGGTATGGGTCATGTAGTTGATGGCACTTCCCTCATGTGAGCGGTGTACACTGCGCAGGGCTTTGTGTTCAACTACAGTACCCACACGTCACTGTCGAGCGGCTGTTATCCGGGGATATCTCTCGCTGCTGCTGCTGCTGCTGCTGTGTTTCTCCTAGTCTAGCGCTCTCTCCTTTTTAGCGGATTGGCACAACAGGGTAGGATTACTAGAAGGAATACAAAAACATAGGCAAAAAAAATGGCAGAGCTTGGAGCGGGGAGCCTGCTAACAGGAGATCCTGCTTTTAATTACCAAGAGCATGAGCTAAACGAGCGTTTGAAGCGGCTGTACCCGGCCGTGAATGAGGAAGAGACCCCCTTACCCCGATCTTGGAGCCCCAAGGATAAGTACAGCTACATCGGGCTCTCACAGAATAATCTGCGGGTGCATTACAAAGGTATACAGATGTGACACACGCTGAACTGTCAACCCGTAGGCCTTGACAATCCCTGCTGGTTGTGTATGTGCAATCTCCCCGATCTAGTTTGAGCTGCTTTTTCCGTCCCCTTATGCTTTGTTGCATAGAAGGAAAGAGGAATGTCCAAATGGGTTGACATTTAGCAAACCATCATGTCAGAATTCGACTAGCTAGGGTAGCTTGTGACTGGGGAGTCTGACTTTTGGACGCCTATTGCCATGTCAAGAACATCAAGTGTTATTGGTTTACTAAGCTTATGGTTTGAACTCTGTTTCGGTGAATTAGTCTAGGCTCGGGCTAGCTAGCCACGGCAGGGCAATAAGGGCAGCTAAGCTGCTACACCATCGCAATGAATCGCATATTGCTTGTTTAGTTTACACCGCATTGCATAAGTCTATTTGTTAACCGCTATCCGACGTTTTACATAAAGACGCTCTTCGCGTGACAACGAAACGAATGTTATTGTGCGATGTTGATACACGGACATGTTTTTATTTGTGTTGACGAACATAATCGAGTTGTTTCGAATCTTGGCGAATCGTTTGAATCGCCAAATTCGCGACAATGGTTTAGTCGAATTCCACAAGACTGTCTTGTTTAAACAGTTGTGGCGTTTCGAATGACCCAGAGAGTTTCCCTCAGGGGGTCTGTGAATTTACCCACTGCAGATGTACTTTTAATGTATAAGATTTATGTACACGTTTCTAGATAATACATCACGAATAAGCTATTTTAAGAACTACCACCAAGCATCTATCTATAGGCGTTTATTGAGTATGGCAAATATCAGATAAACTATTTTATTGTCCTACTCTAACAAAAGATAAGCATGGATTTATTACAGCACAACTGTTGTAACACTGTTTTTTTTAATCAGATTGATTACCTTTTATATAGTTTTTACCACAAATACAATGGGTAAACTATTGTTAGCATATAAAAATCATTGTTAATTTACTTCGGTTTGAATACAAAAGTGCTGTTTTTCTTTTTTTGTAAAACCATGACTAATTTCTTAATCATAGTACTTTAGGTTTGATTACAATTGAGTCATTTTAATTTCAGTAGTTAGACATTAGACTGTCGGTCATTCCAGGAGTGACCAGTATCTGTTTAATTAGCCTCTAGTACTTATTTATTATTTACTAGTTTTTATTCCTTTGTCACTAGTCACTGTCCCAGTAGTGCCAAGTAACATTCTCTGTTGCTGGTAACTTATTGCTTTTTTTTGCACTGAATTATATGATAAAAATAGTATGTGGTTCAGATACCAACTATTAATTTCCAACTAGTATTAAATGTAATATATAATTGTCATTGTGTATTCCTTGTTTTTAGCAATAGTTAAATACTTATTTCTTAATACTTAGTACTGTTACCTATTCTTTACTTAGTTTTTACTACAAAATGTCTACTATTAATTCCAGTTTAAAATTGAATACACAGTATATGCTTTTACGAAACACTAGTGTGTGTTAAACCTCTACCTGATTTTCTGCCAAGATATTATCTGTTAATTTTGCATACATGTGCATTATCCCTAAACCAAGAAAGACCTAATAAAGTGTGTCAAATCATTTTTAATTGAGTTAAAAGGAAGCTCTCCTGACTAGTCATTAAAAGACTATCACTTTAGTCTGGTGATATGCTGTATCTTAATGACAATGAGCTCTTTTGTTGTAGCATGTGTGTGAATTATTAGTTTTATAAAAAGGCTTTATTGTTTTGCCTGACAGATTAGTGAAACATTACATATTCTCTGGCTATTTTTAGATTTTTCAATGAGGTTGCGTTTCCATGTGTACAATACTCTACAGTTTGATGGTGCCTTGTGTGTAGATCATAGCTGTTTGCTGTCTTACATGATATACATTGTATTTGACAGCTGTCAGATAGACAGTACGTTTGTGTGTCAAAGCTCAGGCCCAGTGTGTCCAGTCCACCCTCTTTGACAAAACAATGAACAAACAGCTGCATTATTTCTGTAATCTACACTGCTTTGTGTCTGTGGAAATTCGTACCCCATTGCTAACTATCTTCTTTCAGGCTATGGCTATGTTTACCACTTCATATGCCTGCCGATGTTGGCCAAGTTTTTGCTTTTTAGAAGTCAGATGATATTGACATACCGCTATTGATTCCTTTTTCTTGTTGTTAAGGATCTGTGTCTTTTTTTGTGCAGTCAGCCTGACTGTTTTGCTCCGTTTATCCTCAAAGCAGGATTGCAGTGATTAGATTAGGATAAAAAACAAAGGCTTGTTACTATAATCTGCTATCACAGACATCTTGTAGCAAATATATTTAAAGCACTCTGCTTAAGAAATGATTTAACCCGCTGTCTGTTAACCTTCAGTGCTATTCTGGCAAGTGTGCCAGATTTGGTTTCTGAAGACCGAATTGGAGTCTGTCAAGTAAAAATAGATATTAGCCATGATGTTTATGGTGCATTACATTAGCTTATGTGGCTCTCGGCCTTTATTTAGGCAGCATGTAAAAAGTAATACTCTTTTGCATGATGAAACGAGGAGGAAAGACAGCGGAGGCTTCTTCTCTGTCATTGTTTGCAATAAGGACCTCATTTTACTCATCATCACGCTGACAAGGACATGAGCTCTTTTATAAACGGAGGTGAAAATGTGACTTTTGCAATTGTACACACGTACAGATTGTTTTACACCACCTCTTGTGAGAAGATTAAAGCTAGATAAATGGATGTAAATATAGAATAAGCTTGCGCATACTGATGGGCTACTGTCTGTTCTCTGTGCGCAGGCTGTTGGACTCAGTGTTTCCTTTAAGCTCATTGTACTGTTTGCCTATAGAGGGCTTTTGCCTGTCTGAGGAGCCAATCATGCATGTTGAGTCGCTGCGGTGACATCATCAGATTGTGTTCGTTTCCCTGTGGTGTCTATGTGAAGCTGTGAAAGCCTGTTTGCTAACACTAGCACCGCACTCCCAATCTTCCCTCCCCGTGTCTTTGTTCTCTCATATTTTTTTTGTATGCCTGCTTAGCTGATGTTATTATGGGTGCCAGCTGTAGGCTCCTCAGCTTCTGCAATTTCTCCTTAGATGTTTTGACAGAGAGACACTTAAAAGTACGAAAAGCAGTTTTACCAGATAGCAGTGGAATTCTGTGATGTTGATTATTTTGTGTGTGTGAGAGTGTATGAAGAATGAAGAAAATCTGCATTGCCCCATCCATTTGCTCCCCTTTTATTTTCCTTTATTTGATTTCTCTTTAATTTACCAGTGTATTCTGACCAGAACTTTAGCCCATAAACGAAACAAGAGAAAAAACAAAACATTAACATACATTTTACTTTATTTTTTGCGTTTTCTGCATTTTTTTCAAACTATGTTTTCCCATTATGATGTTTTTTTTAAAGATTATAAATATAGAAAATTAGAATGAGCCTAATGTATTTTTAATACCTTTCAATGTTGTTTAAAAGTAATTTTACACAACAATAAAACACAAATTTAAAAAAGAGGGATTTCAAACATTTCCTTTTTCAGGCTCCCAAAACACAATTGTCTTGTTAAAAATAGCCAAACATACACATGCATGTTAGTAAAATAACACTTCTCAGAATCACAAAAAAAAATGTATTGATCTGTTGTATTTTGTTTCAAGAAAATCAGAGTAAATGGATTTTGATTAATTATATAGATTGACTGAAGATCATTTTAAGATGGATAGAGAAAGTTGCATTCTATTTCAAGTTTAAGGCACATTTTCCCTCAAATTAGCTTACAAATACTTTTAGAATGTTAAAAGGTTTTAATATAATAATACATTTAAATTTCTGTTAGGGCTAGGTAGTGACATGAACTGGTAAAAGATTCTGACAGCATAGCTGCATCCCAATGACACACTATGTACTAATGCACTTACACACTCAACAACATAGTATAGTGTTCCAAATGAAACACTAATGGTTATTTTAGTAAGCGGAAATTCAAACTGTTTCCCTGAGGATGGTTCACGGTTGCCAAATTAGTGAAGTAAAACAAATCATACAATTGGCTTAAGATATGCAATCAAAATGCGGGACATTGCAACCTGCAGAACCTCAAAATAACCTTAAATATAATAAAATAAAATAAAATATGACCAAACTACCAAATAATATGTGCCATGAGTGCAACCCCATTGACAATCGGGAGGCAGCATAATCACTCTCATAGGAGAATTTTGCTTTCATAATTCAAAATTAATGAAGTAATCCTACATGAGTGCTTCATAGCTTGATGAACAAAGCAGTGGCTGTTAAGTGTGTGGTGTCCAAAACTCTACACTTCATTTTAACGTGCATCATCCAGGTATTTAAAGTGCACTTGTTATTTTTAGAGTTTTCAGTGTGAACATACTATGTAAACTATACTATAAAATGATGTAGAATAGTATATAAATATGCGATTTGGGATGCACCTTGTAAAAACCTTAGATAAAATTATCATTGTTTCATGGTATGATGGTATTGTGAATTCTGCTTTTAAATGTGTTCTGGTTAAAAAAAACAACAACTTTTTTCCTATTGAACACAATATAGATTTTATATTAAGAAACATTTTAAATATTTTAGAACAGTTAACGTGTCAGGCTTAATCATTCAAATGAATCATTGACTTCTGGTTTCTTAATTAGCTTAAAAAAAACAGATTTCTTTGCAACTTGAAAAGGCATCTTTGGAGATCTTTCTTTTCTTTGGATATAAAGTAAGTAAGCCACTGCACTATTTAGATGCATAGCAGCATTGGGTGTTGGTTTAAAAGCATTTGTTTCTCAAATGTTTGCTAAATCATGTGCTGACCAGTAGCTTTTGATGCCGAGGGTCCTTTTCAATATACAACATATTGTTTGAGCATTGATATCGCAATGTGTGTATTGGCAATAGTCACATTGAAGGATTAGATTGTTTATTACAGATTAAAAGATAAAGATATGAAATATTATTTTAAAATAAATTATTTATATA